AACGTGTGTATCCTCCATTGTTTTGTGATGTGTGGCGGTGTAGTTTCGAGGATCGGTCGAGATCGGTCACACGAACGCCACTCTGGTATTTCTGCACCATTTCCTTCTTCTTTTCCATTGTGATTTCTTTCTTTACCTTCTCTTCCTTCCTTAGCTTATTTTCTAGCTTTTTTGGGGCCATTTTATGATTTTCATAACAATTATCGAAAATAATTACATAAAGCACTGCACTGACCGAAATGACGCCCACAAACAGGCGTATCTGGGCTCAGAATGATGCTTACAGGCGCCTCTCGGGCATCTCAACTCTTTGTTTACAACCGCACAAGCGGACACGCGTTTTGGCCTTCACCGGGTCGTAACTCAAGACTATAATTTTAGTCATAACCCAAGTTATTCGTATGTCAGGCCGGTCGTAACTCGAAGGTCCACCAGCACCAAAACTCAACATACGATGGTATAACATCCATGCTGTTTTTTTTCAGCAGGGATATGTTTATATTATAGTTTTGATGTCTAATACGTTATATCGTCCGGCATCCTCTGGATTTACCATAAATATCACAAAAACGAAACAATAACACGTGATTTAAAGTTTTCCCGTTTGGTTTTAAAACATAGAAACAAAAGTGAAGCCTGTTTTTTCTTTTCCTGTTTTCTTTTTCCCGTTCTGATTTTAAAACAGAAAAACCAAAAAACGCCTGTTTTCTGCCTTCTGCGGTAAATCCAAAGAACGATAGACGGATTCTCATGCAAAATATTAGCTAAACATGAGGACACCATACTGCTGCCACCTACTGGTCATGCAGACAATTTCAATAGAATGACACGTAAGAAATGTATTGTTGGCGAATCAGCCTAATAATTGAAGAAGGGTTGGGGCTGAAGAAGGGTCTCACAGCAGGGGGGGTTCGACCTGAGGGGGCGGAGGTTCTTGGTAAATCCGTCTGACGGGAACATAACATAATTGCTGATGAATGCTGAGATTAAAAACATTTAACAGTACTAAAAATTGATGGATGGTGAATAGGGAGTCAGTCCCGCTTGGTAAATTTTGCAGTGGCCCCCTGCCGTAATGGTTCCGGGGCGGGATGGATGTCCCCCTACCCTGCTACTAAATATGAGCTACTTATATCGTGCAGTTTGATTCATGTGATATTGATATACTTGAAAAAAAAATTATCAATCACATACAACCACTTCTTCGATACAAGCTAAGGGTTTGTGGTGAGCTTATAGCCCAGAGAGCACAGGGCTCAAATGCGGATACCCTCAATGGATATTCAGTGTATAAAAGACGAATTGGTGGCATGCGATCGATACTTTTCCATTTCAGAATTCATCAGCGATTATTTTATGTTACTGTCATAAATCTAACAATGAAAAATAACAAATGATATCAAACTGTAGGGGAAAAAGAAAGTTATCAGTGCCGAATTATTGAGACCAGAAATAGACACTTGGCAATCAATTTGTCATTAGCAGCAGGTGCCCGAAGACACAGTAGTTTTATCGATTAAAGTGATATTACATTAAAATATTTTTTTTTATGCCTCCCCAAACTTGCTCTCAGTAGGTGAGAGCGAGCTGGCTGCAAAGGGAAGATATGTGTTGCAGTGCCCAGAGAGTTGGGGGGTGGGGGTTAAAGGCCTCGCTCGAGGGCCCGCGGGCAAGGTGGGGGTTAAAGGCCTCGCTCGAGGGCCCGCGGGCAAGGTGGGGGTTAAAGGCCTCGCTCGAGGGTAAATAGCAGCATGTGTGCAGCTAACCAAAGAAAGTCGTACAATTCATACTCATCTGCTTCATCCACTATCACATTGGTGACATTGTTTTACTGTGAAGAAAATAAAGAAAACATCCTTGACTACTGCATAAGAACATGGATCGTGCTATTTATTGAACTGTGAGAGCAAACAGAACAAATGAAGGCATGTTATTTTGTGTAAATTTCTCCCTCTTCCTAAACGGTCCAAAGTTAAGTTTCACCCCACATAAAATGAAAACCAGGGAAAGAGCAGTATGAATAATAATCCGCATCAAACAGAAAGGGACAGTCTCTTTAATACAATTTGAAGTGAAAAATTACACTTCAGCATTCATCATTAATGTACTTCTTTGCTCACATCTGGAACACATGGGGAAAAAAAAACATGCAGATTCTTTCCAAGTAGTCTAATCTTTGCTAGGGCCTTTGCCTAAGAGGCCCACAGAAACCTCTGCAACACAATTAGCATGATTCAAAGAACATCAGGAAAAACAATTTTTTTTTGTATACCCACAAGCTTTTACTCTACACACACAAACCCCCACCTCCTTAGAAGTGACTAGGACATCTCACTCCAATAGAGTAAATAAGTCCTGTTTTTTATTGGAATGATTTAGCTCTATTTTGATAGGCTTTCAAACTGGAACACTAGACCGGCACAAACAGGGATGCATGACAGATACTGTTAAGAAGATCTACAGGAGCCTCTAAAAAGTATATATCCTAGTTCATTTAGTTTTATTTTGATCTGTCCTCGGTGTAATTAATCTTGGCTGTTCCGCTAGCCCCTCCCCTTGGCGAGTCATTATTATTCGGGATATTACTGGTTGAGACTATTATCAATCAGGAGTCTTCCAGTTCTTGTTTACATAGATATACCCACCCCTTCCAGGGAGCTAAAGCCAGGCAGATAAACTTTAGTCAGTTCAGCTTGTGGCAGTGAATGAAAATGTGCAGTTTCTGATATTTCATTTGAGCTGCGATTTGTGAGATTGTGTGTGTGCAGCTAAACCAAAGCACAGTCACACAAACAAGGTTCTGCAGCAGAAGTTCCAGTTGTCAGATTCTTAAACTATGCACAACAGATACATTCATTGATGGGACAAAGCCAGTATTCCAAACAGCCAACTACCCTGAATAAGGGGGTTTCCTGGAGATCTGGGTCATGGACCAACTAAATCCTTTGGTGGATTAAACGGTGGGGAGGGGGGCAAAGAAATGATAACTTACTGGAAAACAAAACCTAAAATCAATGTAATCTATATGTAGGTAAGCATTCTTCCTTGGAAAATTTGGAATTGATGTGTTAAAAAAAAAAAACAGGAATTATGAAAACAGTATCTCTCTGATATGGTCACTCTCAATCCATACACAGACTTGAGGCAAAGTGACACAGGCCATCTCAGGCAGCGAAGACGTCTTAATAAGCAGTAGCAGAGAGATGGTCTGAGGGTTGGTGTCAAGCAGAGCATTGTGTGTGCGTTTCATTTTCTCACCAGGACCAGGAAATGCACCCAACAGACAATTTCACAGACATTTCAAAGTAGCAACATGTGTGGATGCAGTTTAAAAAAATGTGGGGGGGTGTAAATCAAAACAAAGTAATGCACTAACAAGAACTGATTAAAGGCACAATTAATCTTGGCAATTCTGAACAAAAAATAAAATAATTAATAAATATGTTCTAGCCATTTAATATGGGTCACATGACTTGGCCAAAGGCAGAAAAAAAGAGATTTATTAATCTGTATGATCCCTGAATATCACAGGATAAATACCGTCACCGGCAAGAAAGTATCGGGATTTCCACACTGCGAACGTACCATTACATTCTATACAACACCACCTTGCTGGGGAGGGGGGGGGGGATACTGCACTGTACCTGCAGACGAATTGGCAGCAGCAGCAAGTTCTCCCAACCCCCCCCCAAACACACACACACGGCAGTGAATGCAAATAGATCATGAAATTAACTGTCCCCTTAGTCACTACTACACAATAGATCAAAACTCTTTTGCTTTAAAAAGACACACACACACACACACACAC